ATCTGAGGATCAAGGTTCAAAGCCAGCCCGGGCAAGAAAGTCCATGAGACTCTTATCTCCAATAAAACCGGAAGTGGCGCTGTGGCTCAAGCGGTAGAGCCCTGGCCTTGAGTTGAAGAGCACAGGGACAGCGCCCAAGCCCAGATTTCAAGCCCCACAACAGACCAAAATAATAATAATAATAATGAAGAGTAAGACTAAATATAGGTCAAGTTGATCATTAAAGGATTAATTGTTATACCAAGAAAAATGAGATGAAATCACTAAATATTTGTATGAGGACTCCTTAAGTAATTGGGAGATTTTTTTAATGCGCAGTCAGTTTTAACTTCTGAATTTAGAATCACTAGAATGTGTTACCTATTTTGTAAATATCATGATATATGAGATATCTGATACTTGTTTTTGTAATTTCCTTACTCCATATATATCTTTGTTTGCCCTAACCCTCTGAAGACTAAGACAATCATATAAGTAAATGTCCTGATTTCCAGCTTGGGCCCCTGGGTTCCTGCATAATTTCATTATCATAATAGAAGTCATTGTGATAATAAATAAATGAGATGTCTTCATGCTAACAAAGAATAAGTAATTCAAATAGTAACTGCACATTCTGAGAAGCAAGTAAGTTTCTACTTACTCAAGAATCCTTGAGTTCTGAAAGGTAATTTTATTTATTTATTTTTATTGTCAAGGTGACATACAGAGGGGTTACAGTTGTATAAGTAAGGTAATAAGTACATTTCTTGTCGAACTTGTTACTCCCCCCCTCATTTTTCTCCTACTTTTCCTCTCCCTACCCTACCCCCAAGTCTTGTGAGTATCGTGAAAACTATTTTCTTTTAAACTTACAACCATCAATTTGGAATTATCTTAACTTCTAAGACCTCCCATTACAGGAACCAGCCTGGGATCACTCAGACCATACATTTTTACTACTAGCCTAAGATAGCAAGAATTCAAGATAAAAAAGTGCCCATTAAAAAACAACTTTGTTGGGAAAAAGCAAGGGACAATAAGAATAAACAATCAATCGTATGTCTCCTGCCTCAAATCAGTTCCCAGACTGAAACTTTAGATGGAAATTAAATTTGACTAGATAAGTTCCTGAGAAATTGCTAAACATCCAGCTTAGTTTTTCCGTGTCCAAAAACATCAATTTAAAAGATACCAGAACTAACATGGAACAGCTCAAGCTGAGAGAGGAAGCTGCCATGTCCTTACCTTCATTTCCACTCCCAGTTGAGAAACTTACCAACTTCATCTCCTGGTCAGTTTAAAGATCTAGAAATGATACATATAGAATTCTACAAAAATATATACTTTAACAATCTAACATTCTGAAATGCAAATATGAATTCAGAGGTGTATTTATTGTAATAATCATTTAAGCCTTCAAATTGCCTTTATTTCATTCAAAATCATCACATAACCAGACAGAAGACAAATACCAGTATTCTATTGCAACAAAGAGCAATACTGGTGGTGAGATTAATGAACACCTTTCCAGAGATGGGGAAAAAAAGATGCTTGAATAAATCAGAGGATTTAGTTTGGGTTGTTCCACTGCAAGGGAAGTAGTGTCAGGAGAGTGAAGTACCCCCAACTTCCCGGGGCCGGCAGGACTTGAACCCATGATTGGTGAAAGGAGTCACCAACAGTCACTCCAGCTAGGAATCTTTTTTTTTTTTTTGGGTCCGGTTGTGGGGCCTGAACTCTGGGCCTGGGCACTGTCCCTCAGCTCTTCAGCTCAAGGCTAGCACTCTACCACTTGAGCCACAGCGCCACTTCCAGCTTTTTTCTTTTTGCTTATGTGGTGCTGAGGAATCGAACCCAGGGCCTCATGCATGCAAGGCAAGCATTCTACCACTGAGCCACCTTCCCAGCCCCAGCTAGGAATCTTTATTAGCCACAGGAACTCACTATATGAGGACAGTGAAGAACAGAAGCAAAGTCAAATATAGCTGAGTATTTAAAGGCAAGATCCATGGGAGGGGGGAACACTCACAGATGGTACTAACCAAAGCAATAAGTCATCAAAGCAAAGTTTTGAAGTAAGATGGCTGAGCTTAAATAATTCCTTGCAGAATTCCTGGTGCCTTGGCAGGAGCTCAGAGCTGTCTAAACAGCTCCCAGGCCAGGAGGTGAGGCAAGCCATCCTTTGAAGTGCAGATGCCTGGCTCCAGGGAGTGAGCTACGAGGGCTCTGCTCTACAGAAATGCAGATACCATAGCTTTAGGAAAGCATTGATTAGCTCCCCAAATGGCCTAGAGGTGAGACAAGCTATCTTTAGAAATGCAGATGCCTAATGTCGCCATCCTGGTGCTTAATTCTCAGGCTTTTATCTTTGAAATTTAAAGATTGCCCCTATTCTTAATCCAGGCCTCAGTCTTATTCTATACTGAGGATCTGTACCCCTGTTTCTGATTTCACATTTTATATTCTTTTTTGGGGTGATGGGTCATCACAGAGAAAAAATATCTAAGTAAAATGAAAGGGAAAAAGGTCCTTGGGGAGAATCCTGGGAAAAGATAATTTGTGGATTGATCCACATTTTTACCCCATTTCCTCCTGTTGGGAGAGTACTGGTTAGCCACTTGACAATCGACCTTTTGAATTGTTCCCCGCATTGAGGTAGTTGAAGCCATAGATATATCCAATGTGCTAGGAAATGGGACATCAGAGTCAAAGTAGCAGACAATTACAAGACAAATTTGGGGATATATCCACATACAGAGAAAAATAAATACTTAGGAATAAGCCCAATTACAAAGACACAATTTTTATACAGAAAATATAGTGAGTAGCCAAAAGATCTAAATAATTGTGCTTGGATACGTCTGAGTCAAGCAGAAAAGGTCAGATAAGGTGATGTTAGGGAAATGAACCCTAAGATATGTATTCAAATGTATTTTTTTCTTTCATGTGATTGTTTCTAAGGCATTTATAAGATTATTTCTTTGTTGCCTTGTATGTCCTTCCCCCACAGTATAACCCGTGCTTTCACTGTATTTGATGTCTGTATAATTTGTGGAGGGGAAGGGGAAAAACAAGTCGCTTAAATAGGGATACAGGTGGACCCGTTGCAACAATGAGAAGTACAAGTCGTTATGTCGAAAACGAACTTTACAACTTTGGTGGGGGGGGCGGGGTGGATTGGATGGGGGGGGGGGGGAGGATGGGAAAGGATGGGAAGGGGAAACAAAGGAGGAGGCTACAATGTTTGATAAGAGATGTACTCATTATGTTGCCCATGTAATTGTAACCCCTCTGTACAGTATTTTCACAATAAAAAATAAAAATAAAAAAAGAAAAACATATAAAGATAGCAAGCTTTGAGAATTTAAGGTGTAAAGGTAATGCAACTGGAAATAAAGCATAACAGATATATTCTGCTATGCCATAAGAAAAAAATACTACGATAAATTTTCTAGTCAGACGAACATCACTCAATCAAAGGGTGGTTCACTTGGGAGAAATGGGATCCTATTAACAGAAGTTGGGAAACAAGACTAGATCCTGTTCATGAAGCCACAGAGGCATGACGTCATGGGGTGAGTTGTGGTGTGCCAGTAACCCAAAATCACTCTGTGGCTATGAAAAGCCTCAGGACCTGGGACTAGCAGCAGCCTCATTCAAAGTTGGAGGACTTTCCAGAGTAGGTTGGGAGGGCCCTGGCAGTCTCCCAAGCCCACAGGACAGCATGGGGCACACACTTTAAGAAAGAGCTTAGCTCATCTAGATCACAAACCCTAGAAGAAAGGAGAAGGAATACAAATCTGTGTTCTTTGTGATGGAAGCAGGCAGAAGTCAAGGCACTATGCAGAGAGAGCACTGCTGCCCAGGCCTGGTTGGTGATCCCAGCAGCATTGCAGAGAACACACCAGCAGAGGGCACCAGACACAGCAGAAACACAGCCCAAGGAAATCAAGAGTTGTCTATAGAGTTTTACCATTGCTTTCAGAAAGGGGACCTATGCTCCACACACCACAAGCATGCACTTAAAGTGGTTTTGTGGAGGCAGGGGTATGGGGAAAAGCTAAGTGTCATTGGGAAACATCTGGAAATGCTGGGGCGGCCAAGGAAGGAAAAGTTGAAAAACCCATTAACTCCTGATTTCATACACACAGGCACCCCTGCATCCCAGAAGTACCAGGAGCTGAAACAACAGCATGGGGGGAGGGGTCTGTGATGGACTGGCCATGGCAAGCTGTACCAGGCACTCTTTCCAACTGCAGTAGCAGCCACATCCCTATGGGGAGTTGATGGGGGATCCACTGTCCTGTTCCTGGATCCCACCCAAGGTACAGTGGGAGGTGGGATAGAAAGCACACACACACACACACACACACACACACACACACACACACACACACACACACGGCAGCTGAAATCTTAGTCTACCGCTAACAGTGCTTGGCATCCCAAGAAAGGAAGAAGGCTGGAGGTGTGTAACAGCAGTTTTCCAGGAGAGGTGAAGTTTCAGAATGCGGCACAGGGCAATGGCAGTATTATTGTGGTGCTGATGCATTAGGTGTGTACAGATGAAGGGCAGAGAGCCACCTCCTGTCTCCTGTTGCCACCCACTCAGGAACATTCAGGATACCTTCTTTCCTCCCCAGGCCTCCAGTCAAGGAGAAACCTTTATCATGAGATTCCACTATACCCCACACTACACTGCTGCCTTGCAGGGAGTTACTTTTCTCTTCAGGCTCTCAACATTCATCTTAAAATCAACTTCTCTGTCACCATGTCCTGTGGCCCATGCCCGCAACCCCTTTCATGAAGCTTATTCTGAGCCTCTGTCCCTACTTCTACTAGACCCTGAGGAGTGTATCAGTCAGGAAGCATACACCCCAGTCAGCTGGCATTAGGGGTACACTTTGGTCTTTTCCTCAACACAGTTTGTCAACTCAAGGACAAGAACCATGTCTCTTTTTGCCAATCAAAGCACACAAGTTTATTGATGATACACACAGGTGCAGACTTGGGTGCAGGAGGTTAAGTCAGTAAAATGGCCAGGAGGGGAGTGAAGATTTGAATCAACAGGCTCACCATCCACCAGCTGGTGTGGGAGAAAGGAAAGGAAAAGACTTAATATTAAGCAGCAGCAAATGCATTTTCAGCACAAGCTTCCATGTGGGCTTGTTCTGTGCCCAGTGATCCCACTTAGATAAAGAGGCCACTGTGGGCAAGGACAGCACTGTGGATGCTGTGGTTTGCTGTCCTGGTCATTGGTCCCTTTACCTCAAGAAGGTAAGTTACAAGGCAGGAAGTTACAATGTACATTGTCTGTGTCCTGCCCAGTCCAGAAGTTACCCAAAGCTGTGTGGCAGCCCTGCCGGACCAAGGAGACAATGATGTTCCTGAGCCACTGGAACTTTTGCCCAAGCCCCTGGTGGCTGGCTAAGACTACACCTTCAGGTGTACCCATTACAGACTTTTTGCTTTTGACATATGTAAACCAAAGCCGAACAGGGCTCAGGTGCATTCAGCGCCATTCTGTTCCAGACTGCCACTTAAGGGAGGAGGGTTTCCTGGAGAATCTGTCTGCTGCCTCTTGTAATAGAGACAGCCAGGACTGAGCACAGCATTTGGGCACCTAGCAACTCCCCTGCCAGGGCTGGCTTTTCAGACAAAGCCATCGGCAATTCCAAAGCCTGAACCTTAGCACATTTACTTCCCTCAGAAATCAAAGGAAACTGCAAGTCTGAAACGGACTTGGCAAGCATGTTATTAATAATTGTCATGCTTATTAACACATGTAATCCAGCCTGATGTAGAAGTGAGTTGCAGCATTGAGACAGAGTATCCCTATACATTTCATCGATGTACATCTTAATCTGGCCCTGATTTTCAGTACTGGCTTTCATGTTATTTGGGGATCCTGGAGCTTTCTCCCTGACAGTGGAATGGACAGTGGAGATTGTGTTTCCATTGACAGAGAGGTTGGCCAAGTAACTCTTGTCTGCATGGTTAAGTGGAAAACAAGCATCCTTCATCTCACCAAGAAACATTTTTCCCTTAATGGAAGGACATTTTGAAAGGTCAAGTATACAACTGAAATTTTTATAGCTTTGAGCACTCCACATATTTTTATGCTCATAGGGGAATGGCCGCTGTTTTACTGGGTGTGCTCTGTTGGCCTTGCCACCTCCTGAGGGTCTGTCCTCAGAACCACCTGGGGCCCCAGGTTCATTCCAATCCCCTTCCTCACTCCAGGGCCGAGCCATAGGTGTTAAATCAAACCAAATTTCCTGTTCCTCCTCATCCAGTTCGAGATCATCATCCCATTCATCTTCCTCTTCTTCCTCCAATTTGTCACTGTCCTGTCTTCCTATTGTCAGTTTGTAAACACAGTAGCAGGCCCCAGCCCCAATCATCAGTCCTGCTGCCATCCAACCTACTTCCCGGGCCCGGCCCATGCTTATGTTCAAGCTGACCCCAAGGCTGGAGGTGAAATGACCTGTTTGAAGGAACACTTAGAGATGGGGTGAATAATGGTTCAGGGTAGTTATCATCAGACACTCCTAGGCTGCTTCTGTAGCTCTGATGTTGAATCTGTGGATGAGAAAAAGTATTAGGGCTTTGAATTGTGCCTGGATTTGGGCTTCACCATATAGCTTAGAAAGATTTTGTTGTTGTTGTTGTTGAGAAAGTTATATTGCTAGAGAGTGATTCATTTGTTCTTTTCTGTCTTCCTCTATTAACACCCAGTATTCACTTTTTTCTCTTCTAGTACTCTCAGAGAAGGGCAGGAGTTGGGGGACAAGGAAGTTTGATCTTCAGGTAGCCTTCTTCACCACATTTATCTCCCATCCTCTCCCCTCCATAAGCAGTCCCTGTAACCAACCTTCACCAGAGTCTGGTGAATTGCTTTTTCCCTTGGTTTCTGTTAGTCTTCACTTCACAATGATAGATGGACAGAGTCTGGCAGAAGGACAAATGAAAAAGGTAGATAGCATTGAAGAATTGAATGTGGAGTTGGGTGGATCTAATTACATTGATCATACAGGTCCCGATTTGCTGTTTTGAATTTTAGGCCTTAGGGTTAAAAATATTTCTCACACCCTCCCTACTTTCCTCACTCAGGCTCCCCCCTCTCCCCCCCCCATCGTCCGCCATTTCCCCAGCAAAGGCCGCCACACCCCTTTCCCTGCACTGAAATGGGAGGGGGGTGTGAAGAAAGAAGGGGCCAGGAGAGGGCGACTTGGACCTCGCCTGCACAGAACCCAGCCCCCTCCCCAGCGGCCCCCACCCAAAGTCCCAGGCTAATCCTACCTCTGACTCTCCTCTGCATGGTTCCAATCAAGGTAGTTTTGATACTTCTCTCGCCCACTTCGCCGCGACCTACAGATCTGCAAACAGACAGGGGAACACGGGGACGGAGTGCTTAGTGGACGGACCAGCACCCCGAACCCCGTGCCTGGATTGTGGAGCTTTTCCTCCCATGGATTCTCTGAAACCGTTATCCACTCCCCTCACCCCCACCCGAAGCCCGACACTTCTCTCCAGTAAAAATGAACACGGGGTGCTGTGGGGGTGGGGAGAAGGGAAAGGTATTTAAAAAGTAAGCGAAAAAGAGACACCGCTTCCATCAACCTGAACTTGCACCCTCGTGCTTTTTGGTCCGGTCCCATCCCAACCTCCTTCCAAGCTCATTCGTACCGACCTGTACTGTCTGAGCTACCTTCCTTCTTGCTGCACACGCCTGCAGAGTAATATTGGCAGCTGGTACCCAGACGGAGGCGACTAGCAGGACTTCTGCTCTAGGAGGTTCTTGGTCACGTGATAGTCACGTCACCGGTGAGCTCTGGCCCCCAATTTCCACTCCCATAAGCAGTGCGGCAGGCGCCAGCCTGTCCTGTACCTCCTCAACATCTCTCTAGGCCCTGTCATTCTTTTCCTCTGTAACAATACCAGAAACCAGAGGTGACAAGATCTCTCTGATGTTTGACTTTCTCTAATTACAGGAAGGGAGTGGGGGATCTTTCTCCCAGGTCTATCCTGTTTCTTCTCAAGGAATTGTCTCATCGTTTTTCTTTTATCTGAAACTCTTGCATGGCTTTCCTTAATTTATATCCCCTTCAGTTCAGTCTCTGCACCAAAATTGGGGGAAGGGAGCAGCAAAGAAAGGCCAGGCAGTAGTGCAGCCTTTAATTATATTTTCTATCTGTGTATGTGCTTCCATCTCTCTTTATTGATTCATTCAAGCTACACTATTTTGCAAGTAAGATGCAATAAAGCATTTTGCACTTGGAAAAAGAATTCCAATCTTATTTTTTAATGTATGTAATAAACATTTTCTACTTGTTAAGGAGACTTCATTGATTTGGCAAAGTTAATTTGTACCAAACAGTACTATTACAATAGTATATTCAAGTTTGAAAAAGACATACCCTTACAAACAGAACTCATTTGCTTTGTGTATGATTTATAAATTGATGGATAAATAGATCTGTAGCAAGAAAGTGCTCTAATTATATCCATTTTCTTGTTTGGGTTTTTTTTTAACTGTATTTTTTTTTGTCTTTTCTTTTTTGGTACTGGGGATCGAACCCAGGATGTTGCACTTGCTAGGCAAGCGCTTTGCCACTGAGCTACATCCCAGCCCTATATCCATTTTCTATGAGAGAACCACTGTCCCTTTCTTTCTCTTGGCTGAACTCATTGTAGTAGGTGTCAGATGACAGAAATTGTGTAGAAAGCAGCTGGATGGATTTCACTCTCACTTCAGAGGCTGGACTTTATTCACACTCCAATGTCAGATGAATCTTAGTGTGTCAGATGAAATGTACAAGTTAAGACTTCACATTTTAGTCTTCATTTCATTCAGAGGGCTTTATTTAAAATATACTCTGAAGTTTCATTATGAAACCTATAAATCACCCTGAAATTAGAGAAGTCCCTGTTACTGCTTTGATAAAAATGAGGGTTAAGCCAGATACCAGTGGCTCACACCAGTAATCCTAGCTACTAGGCAGGCTGACATCTAAAGATCATAATTCAAAGCCAGCCCAGGTAGGAAAGTATTAGATTCTTATCTCCAATAAACTACAAAAAAATGCACAAGTAGAGTTGTGGCTCAAGTGGTACAGTGGTAGCCTTGAGCTAAAGAAGACCAGGATAGCACCCACATCCAGAATTCAAGTCCCAGCACAAACACACAAAAAATGAGTCTAACAATTGGACATATCATTCCATCTGGACGCTAGGGGTGTCTGCCATTCATCTGTCACCATAGCAGTGGACAGTATTCAGCATTTTCCTGGGGTAATGAGGATGAGGGTCTGTGTCTGTGCATGCCTGTGAAATGCTGTAAAACCCCCATCATTCCTGTCTCTCACACACACACACACACACACACACACACACACACACACACACACACAATACAAAGGGAAGGACAAAGTACAGGATCCCAAGTAGTCATCAGGAAAAGAGGCCTTTTCCTTCCCTGCCTTCCCTCCTAACCTCTCCACACCATCCACACAAAATGCCTCAGTTTGATCATGGAATTCAGGGATGAAATGCCAGAAGTTAGCCCTTAGATACCCAACTGTGCCCCTTGGGCATCATATTCTATAAATATACAACCTCCAGGAAGCCTCTTTCTTAGAGTGTAGAAATATGACACCCCAGCTGGAGGCCATCCCTGTGAGGGGCTCTAGTGTGGAGGAGGCCCTTTTCCGAGGTGAGCTAGGAAGCCCACAATTCCTTGCTGGCAAATTTCAGAAATCTAGACTATGTCACAACTTTCTAAACTTCCCCAATCTTTTATAGTTTAAACTGACTAATCGATACCATATTCCATCTTTCTAAATCTCTACTTCGTTTGTCCATCACTCCCTTAAAATTGTCCCTTTCCTGACCATGTATTTACCTCTATCAGACATGTGAATTCTATTTCTGAAGGTTTATGAACAGAACACTCCAATTTAGTTGCTCTTCATTCCCTTTCTTTGGCTACTAGATACTTAAGTGTTTTTGTTTGTTTGTATTGAAGATATATATATGTGTGTGTGTGTGTATGTATATATATATATATATATATATATGAGAAAGAACTAAAGAATATGTAAAACTTGACAAAGATAGATGCTTCCTTGTATTATGCATAATTTTTTTGGGGGGGTCTGGTTGTGGGGCCTGAACTCTGGGCTTTGGCACTGTCCCTCAGCTCTTCAGCTCAAGGCTAGCGCTCTACCGCTTGAGCCATAGTGCCACTTCCGGCTTTTTTCTTTTTGCTTATGTGATGCTGGGGAATCGAACCCAGGGCCTCATGCATGCAAGGCAAGCGCTCTACCACTGAGCCACCTTCCCAGCCCCTATGCATAATTTTATAATACAGATTCATTTTCAGTACATTTAGGTTACAAGGAGAAAAAATTCACTCCTATTTCTCCCCACTATCATAAAATGTCTCTTCGTTTAGTGTATCCTCCTGGTCTGTCAGATCTTTCCTGGTTTCAATCCTTTTTCTCTCTAGAACATCCCTAAACCTGTGGGTATCATATCCTACTCTGATCCACAGTTTCTACTAATGAGTCTGGTGACTAACATTTAAATACTGTTTTGCACTCCATTATACAGCCAGAAACAAATGTTTTGAAGGACATGTTATATGCCTGAAATATCTTGTTAAAATTGGAAAAGGAAGATGTTTAAGCAAGTCCTGAGATTATTCTATTAAAAGTTACTGAGGCTGCAAGAATTAAACTTTTCTGTGAAGTTAGTATCACAGAAAAAATTTTGGCTTAGTGTTGGTCACATCTGCTATGTGAATTACAAAGTATGAAAGCAAAAAGGCATCAGTGGATGGTGAACCTAATGGCATTATGGGAGGTGAAAAAATAAATTATGAAAGATTAGTATCTCGAAAAGATATATTAGTTTTTTATTATGTTAATTGGTTTTATTGTACTGTGTTTTAGTTAAGATTGTCTGATTTCAGGCCATGGAACTAAATCTGGTTAATACAAGGAGGGAACACTAAAGACCAGGATCAGCTCTGATGGGTCTAGGTAGGAGGAGCTGATAGATGATCTTCTTAGAATACCATAAATCCACTGACTTTCAAGCTTTTCTCTTCCTGCTCAAGGTTCAAATTTTACTAAAAGAACTTTTGATTGGTCCACTCCTTTACTGGCAAACAGAATTTGTAAAAGGCACTTCCTCCTTTTCCAGGAGTGAAATGTGAATTGTTTCAAATGTTGTTGATTTGTACCAGGCCTTTAACTATTTTATGTATTACCTCTTTGTCTAGCTATAACTGAGGTGCTGGTAACCTGTCTACCACAGCATAACTTAGTTGTAATTTCCACATTAACTGAACATTAGAAAAGTACACTTATAAGATGATATACATAAGGTTGTCTTTTGTATGTGTATACATGTTGGTGCCAGGGCTTGAACTCAGAGACTTGCATTCTCACTAGTTGTTTTTTTTTCTCACAGTTGGCATTCTATCACTTCTCTAGTGGCATTCTAGCCACACCTCTAGTCTGACATTTTACTGCATAATTTCAGATGGAATCCAGTGGACTTTTCTGCTTGTGCTGGCTTCAAACTTTGATCCTCCAGATCTCAACTTCTGAGTAGCTAAAATTATAGATGTGAGTCAACAACACCAAATTGTCATTTAATCTAAGGCCACCTAGTTCTCTTGACAGAACTCTGCAAGGCTGAGAGTGCAGTTCAGAGTCTCAGCCTCCATACTGTATGCCCTACCCTGGATTTTGTGTGTACACTGAGAACAGATGCCTCTGTCAAGGAATGACTCTCATTCATAGAAACCTATATACATCTAGGTCGGAACACTCAACCCTTTGAGGCTCTGCATTCCTTCCCTGTTAAGTAGGCCATAAAGAAAGCTAAGTTTCAATGAATTATTTACCTTGAGATATACAACTGTCAAGGCTATTAAAAGGTGTTTCCCAGTCTTAGCTGTCGATTATTCCTGGCAGATAATAAGACTGCTAGGTAAACATACAATGAAAGCAAGAACATTGGTCATCTTAAGAAGTAGCTTTTAGCTGAAGACGCTTGAATACTTTTTAAACACCATGGGGCTGATTTTGCCAAGGAAAGCTAAATGTTTCCTTCATCTAAGCCAATACTCCCTCTCCTACTAACAGTGCTTCCTCTGACTCTCTGTTTTTGAATATATATCCATATTTGAAGAAGCCTCTTTGCTGTACATGATCATTCTCTAAATACAGAATCGTATAACTGATTTGGCTTCTGATTGCTAAATTTTTAAATCATGTCCTGGTATTTCCTCCCAGCAGTGACATTGATGTTATTTTTTTCCCTGTAGAGATTTACCTGTTTCCCAGACTGTCTGGTCTCTTGATTTACTTCCATGTTCTCTGTAGATTGTCAAGGTTATAGTCAGAGATAATATCCAAACTATTAGGAAATATTTCACTGATGATCCCATGTTCTGGAAAACAATTTTACCTTTTGTATTGTGTTGTTTCTGTACTGTGTATTTTTTACAGTTATTTGCTTGTAAGCAACTGAAACTGGTCCTGGTTAATGTGAAACAATGTAGGAACATAATTATTTTTATCTCTTTTCCTATTAAAAATAAAGCTAAATCACAAATGTGTTATTGAGCTCATCCAACCAGTGAAATGACTTCTCATGATTGCTAGATGCCAAGTTCAGCCAAGTATGTCTTGATCTTAATGTTCTTCCAATACCTATCTAATTTACAGTTGATAGTCACGACTTGTACCTGTCTATTTTGTGTTGTTCTTTGTGTATCTTTGTGCCTCTTTATCTCATATGTCGCACATACTGTTGAAGATGTGATTTTTACTAAAGCTTTTCTGCTAAGACCTCAAACCCTCTTCCTTTTTAACTTACTCAGGTGAGAGTCTGTTGCTCTCCTATTCAGAAGGTTGGCCTTGTCAGAAGATTTACATATTCTCAGTCATACTTATTAGCTCATTCAGGGTTTATATTAGGTGCTAGGCCCCAAAAGACATTAAAATTATTTTGAGTGAAGTAGTTAACACTCTCCTGCAAGTGAGAAATGTGGGACTTTCAGAGGCCATCACCCCACATTGCTCTCCCACCTCCACTCTTGTTTGTCCTAAAATGTAATTAGATTTACAGTATTTTTCTCTTCATAAGCAAAACGTGGGCTGGTGATGGGAGAAGGCAGAACAAAAAGAACGAAAAAATATTAGGAAAGTAAAAACTATACCCCCATTCCAGGTTTCTTTTTTGATTGCTTGTTCATATCAGATGTGAGACTAGATTTCAGAGGAAATAGACATTAATAGCTGGGAGTGGGGGAGGTGGAGGGAGAGGCTGCTGTCCCAGGAGCCTAGGGAAGGAAGAGTCAATTTTTTTAAAAAAATACAAGTGACCAGTAGCCTCAGGGGAAGATGATGTCCCGCTCTGGGAGCGGAGCAAGCGAAACACAACTTACTGAGGGAGAGGGAAATAGTGAGGAAGAAGTAACAGGAGTAACAAGGCCTAGTATGGGGCAGGGAAGAAAGGGGGCGGGCCCACTTCTGCCGCACTGCTGGTGGGAGGGGAAATTGGGGATCCGAGTTGGTGGATGACGTAGCTCTCACGTGACTAAGAGCTGACGTGTGCAGAAGTCCTTCTTGTCCTGGTCGTTTTTCCCGTCTGAGTACCAGTTCCCTCTTGCCCAGAGGACAGGCGGGCCTGCGGCATAGGGGAGGAGGAGGAAAAGGAAATTGTCCCGGATCCCTGCAGGTCAGTGCTTGGGAGATTCCATGAAGTGTGGGAAGGGGGGGGGGTGGACGGTGTAGGGCGGGGACGTTCAGGTCCTAAGGAGCCTCGGTCGTTTCTCCCACTTACCACCGCTTTGCAAGACATATGTCCCGCCCGCAGCCCATTACGATGCTGCGAAGCGGTGAGTAGGGGGTATTTAGGCAAGAGTCCAGAAATGAGGAGATGGAAATTTGCTGCGAGTTTAGGCCCTCAATCCGGAAAAGACTTGTGGCCTGGGTGTTGGCCCCCATCCCACCAAGACAGTGCCTGTGGGGAAAGGCTGGAGATGAGGGTTGGGGATGCAAGGTGACACGTGGGAGAGGGGTTAGAGGGGTGGGAAACCTTTGACAATCATACCTTCGAATTAGGAAAGAGTTGCATTCTCTGGGGACGGGTCCGACCGCCAAGTACAGAGTAGTGGCTGCTTCCCTGAGCTTCTGTCTGTGGCGGTGTCTTCCTGACCATGGTTTTGTGTGAAGTGGGTCCGAGCCTCTCTCGGGTGGCCAGTTTTTCCATAGGTTGCGGTACAACGCCAAGCAAGAGAAGAGGAAGGAAATTAACCACAATCACTGAAGGTCAATTTGAGGGTAAGACCATCTGGGGACCCTACGAAGGGCGGGGTTAGAAGTGAGTGAAAACTAGAGACGGTAATCTAGATTCAGGTCTGAGCCTCAATGTGTTTCTGGCACTACCCGGATTGTGGCGAAATGGCGTGCGCTGTGTGTGTGTGTGTGTGTGTGTGTGTATGTGTGTGTGTGTGTGTGTATGTGTGTGTGTTTGTGCACGTGGGGGTAGGGTGGGGAAGAAGGAATGACAGCAGAGAAACCTACCGGATACTTTGTTCATAATCCTCTTCTCTCATCAGTACTTAGTCCCCATATTTTCGATCTGTCATCCAGTAGGTCTTCTGTAGCAGGTGGCACCGATTGAAGCGAGGAAGTTTCACAGAATCAGCAGAGGTTAGTGTGGGCGTGGGGGCTGCCTGGAGTGGGGGAGGGGTTAGAAATCGTCCGTAGTTTCGACTGGCTCTCCTAATCCTACTTTATTTCCCTTATGGACCGCCATTTGAGGGATGAAGGGGTGGGGGAGGAGGTTTGTGCATGTTTTGGATGGTATTGAGATTAAAAAACAACAACAACAACAAAACAACAGTCAAAAAATTCTTGACGACTGCCTTGGGGAATTAGGAAAGCAGCAAATACACAGTCAATCCATCAAGTGTTCTGATCTCACTGGCTCTGGTCTCCGCAAATTAGAAAGGGTGTTGGGTGTGGCACACCTCCCGGGAAGGGAAGGAGGGCACACTGCCTTTCTCCAGGAGGATGGTGCAAGGTGCTACTCCTTAGGGACATCTGAAGTTGAAGTGACTGAGAACTAAAAAGAATCTGAAAGTGGTCTGTGAGGGATTGGGAAGGGGGTGGGATGTCAATAATCTGCATTTCCTATTCTATTACCATTTTCTTGTGTTCTGTGCATCTCTGCATGGAGCATTACAAAGAGAAAAGAAATTCAAACTCTATTTCTTTCCTTTACTTCTAGATCCATCTCCAGAATCAGTATTGTGACCTTGAAGTGGCTGAAGAACATCACTCTTCTCAAGCCTGCACTCAGGCCCACAACCCCCTTCTCTTACTCAGAGTGACTACTCCGTTTCTTGGTCCCTGCTGTTGCCAGGGACGATTGCATGGGCTACGCCAGGAAAGTAGGCTGGGTGACTGCAGGCCTAGTGATTGGAGCTGGAGCCTGCTATTGCATCTATAGACTGACTCGGGGAAGAAAACAAAGCAAGGAGAAAATGGCTGAGGGTGGCTCTGGGGATACTGATGATGCTGGGGACTGTTCTGGGGCCAGGTATAATGACTGGTCAGATGATGATGATGACAACAATGAGAGCAAGAGCATAGTGTGGTACCCTCCTTGGGCTCGGATTGGGACTGAGGCTGGGACAAGAGCTAGAGCCAGAGCAAGGGCCAGGGCTAACAGAGCTCGACGAGCTGTACAGAAACGGGCTTCCCCTAATTCTGATGATACTGTTCTGTCCCCTCAAGAGCTACAGAAAGTACTTTGTTTGGTTGAGATGTCTGAAAAGCCTTATATTCTTGAAGCAGCTTTAATTGCTCTCGGTAACAATGCTGCTTATGCATTTAACAGAGATATTATTCGTGATCTGGGTGGTCTCCCAATTGTTGCAAAGATTCTTAATACTCGGGATCCCATTGTTAAGGAAAAGGCTTTAATTGTCCTAAATAACTTGAGTGTAAATACAGAAAATCAGCGCAGACTTAAGATATACATGAATCAAGTGTGTGATGACACAATCACATCTCGCTTGAACTCCTCTGTGCAGTTGGCTGGACTCAGATTGCTTACAAATATGACTGTTACTAATGAGTATCAGCACATACTTGCTAATTCCATTTCAGACTTTTTTCGCTTATTTTCAGCAGGAAATGAAGAAACTAAACTTCAGGTTTTGAAACTTATTTTGAATTTGGCTGAAAATCCAGCCATGACTAGAGAACTGCTCAGGGCCCAAGTACCATCTTCACTGGGTTCCCTCTTTAATAAGAAAGAGAACAAAGAGGTTATTCTTAAACTTCTGATCATTTTTGAGAACATAAATGACAATTTTAAATGGGAAGAAAATGAACCTACTCAGAACCAGTTTGGTAAAGGTTCACTCTTTGTCTTTTTGAAAGAATTTCAAGTGTGTGCAGATAAAGTTCTGGGAATAGAAAGTCACCATGATTTTTTGGTGAAAGTAAAAGTTGGAAAATTCATGGCCAAACTGGCTGAGCATATGTTCCCAAAGAATCAGGAATAACTTCTTTACTTTGTAGTTTAGAAGTAACACACATTGTAAACTATTCCTTTTCTCCACCTTGTTTATATGGCAAAGGAATTCTTTCAGCTGCCAATTTTGACTAATGAATACCATATTGTATCATCATCGCTGATATTTAACCAAGTTGGTCTTCAGGTTTAAGCTGGGTGAATGAATATCACTACTTGTTCTGAAAACATGTTTGTTGCTTTTTATCTCGCTGCCTAGATTGAAATATTTTTACTATTTCCTCTGCATAAGTGACAGTGAACCAACTCATCATAAGTAAGCTCCTTTTTGTCCTTTGCAGTGATTTAATTTGTACATCATCAATAGACTTGTGTGTTAATGCCAGAAAGGGGAAAAAAGGAATAGAGAAACTATCCTTGTCCTTTGGTTTATGGTATAGTTGGAGAGATAAGAAATAAACCAAAAACAAACAGAATATCTAGAACATGCAGTCATTGTCAGATGTGTGCCCTCAAAGCCCAGATGAAGCAAAGCTTCTGTGGATGCACAAGTCAACTAAAGCTTCATGGAGGACATGCCATTGAAAATGAGTTCCCAGTAGGGTGGGGGACTTAGGAAATTCCAGGCTATAGGAGTCAGGGGGAGTAGTGTGAGAAAGATGTTGAGATAGGAGCCTTCTTCCTGTGGCAGGCAGAAGAGCAGTCTGCTTAGAGTGGAGAGTGTGGGAAATAGGATTAAATGAGTTTGCAAAGCGAGGTGAAGTCAATTGTGGATGGGTGTTTGAATATTATCCTACTGAACACCTAGCACCATTAAATATTTTTGACTAAATAAGTATGATCCATATAAATGTCTCCCTATCTCTCCTACAGTGCAGCATCAAGGATGGTGCAGCAAAATGCACCTTTTCACACTCTGATGATGGTGATTTGGTAATGTGCATCATTAAGCCTTAAAATATGTAAACCTTTAGTCCTAAGGAAGTAACTGAATACTTGGCCAAAGATTCTATGTGCAAGACTGTTTCACATCAGCACAGTCTAAGGTAGTGCAAATTGGAAGCAATTTCAGTGTTTAGCATAGTGCATTGTTTAAATAAATTTAGGAATGACTGCACCATAGGACATGATAAAGATGCTGATGGAAATCTATACTGCCAGGGAAAGACATTCATCATGCATTTTTAATTGAGAAAGGTAAGTTAGATAGCAGTATTCATAGTATGATTTTGTTGGGGGGGATACTAAATCATCTTTAAAAAGATAAAAAAAACTATGGAATTATATACAGGCAAATAGTAACAATAATTATCTTTGGATAAAGGATAATCAGTGATCTTTACTTTTTTACTTTTTCTTAATCTCTATGTTCTTATTTATCTAAAATAAATATTAATTTTTAGGAAATGTATGAGAAAGAAAACTATTGGGAATGAAGCAGGTGATTAATGTGAGAAGAAAAAATATTTAGACTGAAAATGAGGTGGGTTTGAAGTTTTACCTTTGAAATGATAGATGAGTGGTGAAGGGCTCATTGCAAGGATTAAATGAAATGATAATTACAAAGTACTTCTACTATTCTGGCATGTAGCAGTTAAGAAAAGTGAATAACCTTAAGTATCTAGAATGTAGGGGTGATAATTTTTTGGTTGACCTTTGTTTCACTGGGACATTCTGCTATGTTTCAATGTCATTTAATAAATAATATCAATAAAGGTTAACATTTATTAAGTGATTGCTGTGTAGAATTCTGTCATTCCTGCAAGGAAATTGTTAGAATATCTCATAGAAGTAATGTCTCCCCTCTTCTCTAAGAACTCAAAGAGTTTTCTCAGTCATAAACTCTCCATCCTCCACAATATATTGCTGATTGGTTGGGGATGCTAGCCTGCTTTGTATATATGGAACCAGGATAGGGTAAAATTTTCTGTCTGGTTATTATCTCACTTTCCCCTCTGATTTTCATTTATGTACTCAGATCTTTAGTAGACGAAAGAACCAGGGACTGTTTGACTTCTAAGTTGTTAGATATGTTCTCTATTAAATACTTATGGGGACTCATTGAATATCATTTTTTTTTTGTTGGTCGTGGGGCTTGAACTCTGAGCTTGGGTGCTGTCCCTGAGCTCTTCAGCTCAAGGCAAGCACTCAACTGCTTGAGCCACAGCACCACTTCTAATTTTCTAGTGGTTTATTGGAAATAAGAGTCTCATGGACTTTTCTCCCCAGGCTGGCTTTGAACTGCGATCCTCAGCTCTCAGCTTCTTGAGTAGCTAGGATTATAGGCATGAGCCACTGGCACTAGGCTTTGGATACAAATTTTAAGAATAGGAAGAGAGAAGAGGAATGAACTTTTTTTTTCTTATTATTAGGTGAAAGGAAAATTGTGGGGGAGTTTGAGATACATGTATGACATTCAGATGAGAGTGCCCTCATCCATCTTCACAGAAAAAGACTAGTCTTCTATCAGAAAATAGTTTGTAACTGAGAACTTGGGAGTGGACACAAGGGGCAGACTCACAGAGTAGAGGGCTGCAAAAGAGCAGTGTAAGGGGCCGTGGAAGCTGGAGAGAGAAACACAGAATCAGACAATATCTTTTATATACTTGTACTATCTACTTATATGTCATGTATCTCAAAATAGATCACAATGTACACAAGTTTTCAGAGCCTTATTTTTGGAATTTTCTTATCTGAAGCCAATAATAAATATCCATTGGAAACAGTTGAGAAAATAGAATCACTGAATATAAACCTGTCTCCTAACACAGGAACTCCAGCACCTAAAAAAATATTGAGATCATGTTGAACTTGATGCACTGAGTGACTTTTATAGCTGGGGAGAAAAGGAGGTTAAATTGAGTAATGGAAATCAGTAGTAGGCACAAGACTGACTAGAATCCATTTACTCCTCTCCCTGACTCACTTCTGCCTTTATTTCCTCCCTCTAGAAGACAGTTGGTTGTATTTCTGGGCTTCTGTATCTTTTGAGGTGACTGCCTAATTTCTATGACACTGTGCTATGCGTAGGGAACTTTATATAGATTATATATATATATATATATATATAATCTATCTGTATATCATAATTATTAATGTTGTTGTCACAATATGACTAGTATGACTGGATGCCTGATTCTTTTTGGACTAAGAGAAATCATTCCTAATTTCTTGTTGTCCTATGTGCTTCTCTGTGTACCTTTCATGTCCTCCTCTCCAGCTGATATTTTTAAAGCAAGTAATATGGTCTTTCAGGCTACTGGGTAGAATGTGTGGGGTATGACCAGACTATACCCTCATGTCCCAATGTTTCACATAGGAGGTGTCATTCTCAATTATTTTGGTTAGATTACAGTTACAGAATTGTGGCTGTGACTGTGGTAGTGCATAGGGACAGGGAAGAGGTAGTATCTTCTCTTTAGAGATGGTATTAGAAACTCAGTTTTGGTTTTATTCTCAACCTAACAGCTTTTAGGGTCTATTTCACTTCTAATGTATTCAAGGGTAATTTTATAATGATATATTTGTTTGTTGTAAATTGCAACCTACAACATAATACTTCAAAGTCTGGTTTCCTTTTCTTAAAAATTTACATTTTATCTGTTTTCTTTCCCAAAAGTATTTGAAGTGTAGGTTAGGCAATTTGATAGGGTTCTGGTAAATTTTATGTTTATGATTTGCTTTGGCTAGGTTCCCTTGAGAATCACTTTTAAAATACTGATTTATGACTATTTTCAATGCTACCTTTTTACAGTAACTTTACATTGTATCCCTGGCTGAATGAAAGTTTTCTCTGTTGGGATTGCGGCTCTATCTGGCCTTTAGCCAAAAGCTGTCTGCCATTGTGGGGCCCCAGACTGCCCTGCCTAAAGGCGTGGGTAGAAGCAGGATAAAGGATATTTCCTTCTCAGAGTGATAGATACATGCTTCACTTCTCCTTCGGGGCCTTGTCAGACCTGTGTTCAGGCTTGGACATATCTATGTTTGAGGAGGAGTGTGGCAGGAGAGAGTGGGTAGAGGAGAGGAGAGGAAATCCTATTGCAGGGGCAACTTAATCCTGAAAAGTTTAAGCACATGTAATTTGATCCTCCAATGAGAGTGGGAAAAGTGTTACCCTCTGGCCCTGTTGACCATTAACACTGTAAAAAGTGAAAAAGAAGGTACACTATAAGCAGCTTTGTTTAGGCATAGAGCCTCCTTGTGAGGCTTGCAGGGAGCATAAGCACGTCATCCAGTGGAGTGGAACACCTTTGGGAGGATAAAAGCCAGAATGATAATTTATGTTACTGTAAGAAATAGAATTATCAAGTAGATCAGATTCTTAGAGATTGCTGCTCAGCATGTTCTCTCCCTAAGGTCGATCTAGATAAGAATCCAAATGATCACTGAAGATTGTTTAATGTTTAGAGGACCTGGTCAACTCAGAGAGCTGCTGGTGCGATGGACATAATAGTCCCTCATATACCTATCTCTGCTATAGAAATTGACTTGTTGCTAAAATCTAGCATTTTTATTTGAGAGTTAGAATACATTTCTCCCCGGACATAGTTGTAAATTTTGTCTGTCTAGATGGTGTATTTCTGGGCTTCTGTATCTTTTGAGGTGACTGCTTAATTCCTATGACACTGTGCTGTGCGTAGGGGACATTTTATATAGAATATATATATATATATAATCTATCCATCTATCATAATATCTATCATAATAGTACAATTATATTATTACTAATAAAATATATGAACAAATTGACCCACACATACTTTTTGAGAAATGCATACTTTTTAAAACAATGTGAACCATTCTTTAATTTTTTTTTTTTTTTTTTGTCGGTCATGGGGCCAGAACTCTGGGCCTGGGCACTCTGTCCCTTAGCTCTTCAGCTCAAGGATAGTGCCCTACCACTTGAGCCAAAGCACCACTTCTGGCTTTTTCTGCTTATGTGGTGCTGAGGAATCGAACCCAGAGCCTCATGCATGCGAGGCAAGCACTCTACCACTGAGCCAACTTCCCAGCCCCAATTCTTTAAATTTTTAGTTGAAAAAATGGTATATATTTTTGGGTGCAGTGTGTTATTATGACAATTTGTACATTGCAATATAATTAAAACAAGGTCATTAATATGTACATCGTCCCACACAGTCATCATTTTGGTGGTGAGTACATTTAAAAATCTAATTTTCAGCAGTATTGAGATATACATCCCATTATTATTAAGTGTAGTTTTTAGATACAGTATAATAGAGCACTAGAACCAATTCTTCTGGTCTAACTGAACCTTTATACCTTTTACTTAACATTTCTTTTTTCTCTTTTGTTCACCCTCTCAATTCCCAGGCCCTAGTATCCACCATTGTACTCTCTCCTTGGATGAATTTGACATTTTTTAGATCCCATATAATAAGGAGATGCTTTGTTTGCTTTTCTGTGCCTGGCTTATACTTTGTATAATATCCTCTAGATTCATACAGGTTGTGGTCATTAACAGATTTTTCTTTGCTTAAAGGTTGAATAGTATTCTATTGTCTATATAAATAATATTATCTTTATTCATTCATCTGGTCACGAGCACTTAGTTTGTTTCCATATCTTAGCTATTCTGAATAATGTTGCAATAAATATGAAAGTGCAGATGTGTTTACTAAATACTGATTGCACTTCCTTTATGATATACAATACACCCACAAATGTGATTTATGCATTATAGTATATAAACAATGTGATTTTTTTTAGTTTTAAGAAACCTACCGCCAAAATGGCAGTAGTAATTTCCATTCCCACAGTGTTCAAGGATTCTCTTTCCCATATCCTCACCAATACTTTTTTTTTTGTCTGTTGTGGGTCTTGAACTCTGGTCGTTGGTGCTGTCCCAGAGCTCTTCAGCTCTAGGCAAGCTTTCTATCACTTGAGCCACAGAACCCAATTCTGGTTTTCTGGTGGTTAATAGGAGATAAGAATCTCATGGAGGGGCTGGGAAGGTAGCTCAGAGGTAGAGTGCATGCCTTGCAAGCATGAGGCCCTGGGTTCGATTCCTCAGCACCACATAAACAGAAAAAGCCGGAAGTGGCGCTGTGGCTCCACTGGTAGAGCGCTCACCTTGAGCTGAAGAGCTGAGGGACAGCGCCCAGGCCCAGAGTTCAGGCCCTATGACTGGCAAAAAAAAAAGAATCTCATGGACATTCCTGCCTGGGCTTGCACTGGCTTTGAACCACCATCCTCAGATCTCAGCCTCATGAGTAGCTAGCATTACAGCCATAAACCATTGGGGCCTGGTTTTCTCCAATATATATACATATTTTTTTTTGGGGGGGGGTCTGGTCATGGGGCCTGAACTCTGGGCCTGCTGTCCCTCAGCTCTTCAGCTCAAGGCTAGTGCTCCACCACTTGAGCCACAGCGCCACTTCCAGCTTTTTTCTTTTTGCTTATGTGGTGCTGAGGAAT